TTTTTTTTTTTTTTTTTTTTTTTTTTTTTTTTGTCTTTCTAAAAGGTTAATTTTTGTATGAAAGATTTTGCGTAACTTAAAACAACTATATTTATTATGGAGAGGAAGGAGTATTCTTTGCAATGTTCTTGTTTGCTTTTATTGACGGAGCGGGTGAATTCGCGTAACTTCTTAATATTTCAGATTGTTGTTTTTAGTAGTGTTTTTACAGTTTTTTGTTATCGACGAATGTTGCGTTATTAGGTTTTTTTGCTCTTAATCAGGAAGTAATGATGAATGAACAGATGAATGAATTTTTTGCATGTGTGGTTGTATTTTTTAATGTATATGTGTATGAATTTGTGTGCGTGTGTGCATGTAAGTGTATGTTTAGACAGTCGGGGGAAGGAAGTTTTCTGCTGACGATGGTACTGTTGATAATGTTTCTGTAAATTCAACATTACAAGCTGTAGGAATTTGTGTAGAAACTAACCTAAATCTGGTTTTATTACATTTTTTTGTCTTTTCTTTTTTTTTTCTCCTCTCCGCTGAAAACTATCTGTGAACCATTGGTTGTTAATATATGTTGCAAATTTTTGTTTCCCTTTACAGTTACTTCATAACTTCTCATTACTGTAACTTTAACGATAGAGAAAAGAAGGAATTTTTGCAGTAAATAAGCAATTTTTTCCGTTCTCTTTTGTTTTCCATCTTTTTAGTCGATTTGATAATAAGAGGCCGAAGAAGTCGAGGGTTTATATGTTGGTAGTAATTAAATAAAAGTGAAAATGATTGTTGTAATGAGAGGGGTGAGAGGAAGAACTTGCACCATTTTTTTTAGTATAGGAAGGAAAGAGACGAACTTTAAGGACAGTAAGATTAATTGGGCATAATGTCTACATTTTGGCTTTTACTATCCATTTCTCTACCTGCAAACAGCACTTGGACGCTCTTTTGTTTATTTTCGTTTTTTTTTTTTCTCTTTTCTTTTCCAGCACTTGTGGTTGGAAGACAGAGTGAAAAAGATCCGATTTTTTTCATGCTCAACCACAGGGACTACAGACGGCAGCAATTGGTTATGGGGATGACGGGAAGGAAAGGGAGAAGAGTTGGAAGGTAGGTAAGGCTGTGGTGATGACAACCCTAATATGCAGCCAACCTTAGTTTGTTTGGTGTTGGCTGGCTGGCCTCAGTTTTATTAAGCACCGCTGGTTTGGAATACCGCCACGATTTAATGATGTTTTGGCTTTGAAAAAAAAAATTTCACTTTTTTTTGGAATGGTTTAAGCGTTTTTTACATTTTATCTCTTTGCAAACTGAACAAAAAGAGATGCAGTGAGAGAGGAAAGGAGGAGAGTGCGTTGGACGAAAGACTGCTTGGGGAGGGAGGAAGTAGGTTGATAAAGTAGAGCGAGGAAGTGGAAGGCGGAAAGTATGCAGGTAGAGAAGCAGAACTTTTGGCTGATACCCAAAAAAACAAAAAAGAAAAAAATCCTTTTTTTTTTTTAAATTTTCATTGTTAATATTCTGTTCTTTGTGTGTGTCTCCATGTGTTGTTGCCTTTGCTAGCCGCCCAGTAAGTATCTGAGTATGTATGCAATTAGTATTGCTTGTTGGCGATGGTGTAATATCGTTGTTAGAATGTGATTGGTGTCCGTTGTTGTTGTTGCTGTTGGTGGTAATGATGGTGGTGCTGTTGGTGGTGGTGGTGGTGGTGGTGGCGGTGATGGTGGTTGTGTTGCTGTTGTCGGCAATGTTGTGCTGTTGGGTGCGGATTGCTCTATTACTTAGTGCATCAATTTGTCATCTTTCTCTGAAATCTCTAAACGTGGCATAAGTGTTTTAGCTGTTTAGAGAAAAAAAAAATTGTTTCGTTCATTCATTTTTCTGCTTTCTTACATTTTTATATTTCATAGTGGTTAAAAGAAAAACAGAAGATTAAAATAAAAAGAAAAAAAAAATTAGCTGGTTGACTTATGGCCGCAAAGATGTTTTAATAATTGTCATAATGAATAATTTTGTTTTTTGGTAGTGTCGTGATGGTGATGGTGAAGGTTGTGGTATTGGTGTTGATGGTGGTTATGGTAATTGTAATGGTAATAGGGCAGTTTTGTTGATAGCGATGTCGGTAGTCTGTTTGAGTGACAGTTGTTATGACAAATTAAACTGGGATTGTCATTCGTTTATCGGGTTGAGAGGATTGCTAGTCACAGTTCTGTTAGTAGAGGAAGAAGGTTGCAATACAAGGAGATATGGATGACCAGGAAAAAAGAAAACAGGGGAGAGGGGCAAATGGTTTTGTAAATGGTACTTTACAAGATTATTGTTGCGAATTGTTGTTTTGCTTCATCTGTTTATTCGTATGTATGTTTTTTTGTCTATGAGTTCATTGATTTATTAATTCATTCATTGATATGTATATTTATTCAATGTTGTATTATTTTTTTCTTCGTCGGTTACGTTCAGTCTAAAGTTGATGGTGATGGTACGTTTTGTAGCAGCCATGTAATATGTATTTTGGATGCGTCTGCATGAAATGGTGCGTAATCAGTGTAGGTAAAATTAATGTGAATAAAATAACGGCCGATAAAGTTAGTGGCAGAAAAAAATTCTTTTTTTTTGCTTTTTGACTTTTGCAGTTTAGTGAAAAAATTTTTTTCTTTTTTATAGAGGGATTTTTATGTAAATGTTATCAGAATTTTGTTTCATTTTTGGCGGTAAATTTTTTTCACAAAAATTACTGTGTAGCGGTCAGGAGAAAAAAAAATTAGACCGACCATTTTTTGTAGGGTGTTAATTATTGATTGCAAACCAATTAAACCGATTAATTATTCATTATTTTGACAACTATTGTTTGTTGTAGGTAAAGGTTCTTAGGCTTTTTGATGTCTCGTAAAATGGTTGTTTTTGTTGATACTGCCACTGATGCTGATTATTCTATAATGATTATACCTAGAAGTTTCGCTAAACGTA